CTGTGCTGACGAGCACTGCTCAAAAACAAATAACAGCTGTTACATTAATTCTAAAGCTAAATCAACCAAGAAGAGAAACATTTTGAGTTTAGTGAAAACATTAATAAATAAGGGTGGGATCGTTGAGGCAACTCTGTAGGTGGGATGATTACACTTGTAGAAGTGAGACCCTGAATATTAAACGCAGCTTTAGACTTCTTAACGCAGCATCATGTATTATGAATGAGCTGAGAAATTAAAAGCAAATTGAGCAAAACCCTGCTTATAGAACAGCAAGCAAAACCCCAGAAGGCTATCAAATTGCAACGACAGAGGAGATTTGAGATCTAACATCGCAATCCGATGTTATTTCAAAGATCTAAGCTAGGTAGACGAGATGAATACGAATCCTGGGTTATATTGCTTTGACCTCATTTTTGTAGATACAGCCGAGGTTAAAAGTAACTGAGCACACAAAAATGTATTGAAATTCGTAATAAATGTACATTAATAGTAGAAGTATCTTTTAATAGATTTAACAATTTTTTCATTAAGTTTATTTAAATCTAAATTGTATGAACATATTGTTCACGACCATTCACTATTGATAAAAAAAATTATTTGTATAATAATAATAACTATTTAATAATGTAAATTTGTAAATAGATAAACTCTCAACTTGTGTTTGTATCGAATAGTAATATACGCCCGGACACATAAATCGCGCCACCTCGCATTTTTGTCGTAAAGGGCAAGAATACAAAAATAGTGTTATCATCGAAGAAAAAGTTTTCGCCGGTTTTGCAAGTCTAAAGTCCCAACAAGGACTTATGGAAAAGACGTTTAGTATACTAGTTTCAAAATTGCATAAAGGTTTTTGATCAATCAAACACTGTTTAAGCTTATGACACTTAGTGCTGAAAATGCGTGGTGCCTCGAATTATGTGTCCGAAAGTATAATATATATCATTGTGTAGTTTGTACTACGGCTTGGAATGGAATATTGTTAATTTACTGATTAGTTTTAAGTGCTCATGCCAGTGACAGTTGCCTTAATATAAATAAAGTGTATTTGAGCCATTGTATGACATTTTGAAATGTAAGATTTTTTCATCAGTATTTTTATTTACTCATTTTGTTTTATTTTTCATTAATGATGTCAGAAAACCTCGAGATGGTGAATTTTTACATTTACTGTACGTTCAGACAATTTTATTCTTGAATATTTTTCTTATGTTCATCATTCACTAGCAAGTAATATATTCCGTATGCAAAATATATGAAATGATTTTATAGTCCTGGTGAAATTATTTGAGAACAAGGCCATAGAATCACAATTTATTTTTGTACATAACTGCGTCAGGGAAATTGCTTTTTTATAACAGGCAGCGAGCAAGTGATGGCAATGGATTGAAAACGCGTACGGTACTCTCTGAGCCCCCAGTTATTTATCTCTTTGCTCGCTGATTTATTGTGTTCCGAACTAGTTACCTACTTGCTATCTTCTCGTACGATACGTTCTGCGCACGTGAATATATTAGCAGTAACTTCGATTTGAAAGCAGTTATCGTATGTTATACATATTTGTACCGTTGTATTCAGATAACCCGAATTTTAAGCTATTATGTATTAGAAGTGAAACTATATTTTCGAATCTATCTCGCGTATATTTGTTTTTCAAACTAACCAACGTTTCAGGCCCTTTACAAGTCGCGTGTTTATGACTGGTCAAATTACAGGCACATGGAACTTGTCAACTTATGTCACCCTGAGTGACGGGCGCAGAAATGGGCACTGCAATTACCATGGATAAGCGTGTCGCTTACCACGATGCGTTGCTTCGGCGTTGCGACGCCAGAATGGTGACGCTGCGTTGATGTAAATCAGAACAACAACGGCGTTACGTCGTCGGAATACGTATACATCGGACAACGGACCAGGAGACGAAGCGGGAGGGGTGCTGTGGTGCGAAAGTAGGCGGCGGTGCGTTACGTTGCGACACAGCATCGCTCGTGTGGTACTCGGTGCATTGAAATCATAACATTGCGATGATGTACGTCGTCTCCCCCGTATTGCATCGCTCTAAAGAGGCGATTTAGGATGTAGTTAACGAGTTTGAACCTTTGCGACCCAACTGCACATGCCTACGAAATAGCACATTGTGTTAAGGGTGATGAACAAGAAATTGGTAACGAGAGGTTGTTACAATGCTATAATGACATACTATGTTTTTCATCACATTTGCGAGGAAATAGATACAACGATAATTTATCTTGTATGAATAAATATCGCTTCACAACACTGTTACGGTTTTTGCAAATGACGAGTTTTTTTTAAACAGGTTGAGACCTGTTTAAGTCCCTTCCTTAAATAATACAACTCAAACTAAAATGTTATTATAAGCTCAGACGCATCCGAACATTTCACATCCAATGTGTAACAATCGCGAAAACCTATAAACTTCAAATGTGTTATTATGTATTGAATACAATCCATATGCCATAACGTATAGTTAGGCTTTTCTACGTAGAAAAGTCAGACTCAATTAATAAGCAGGATCCACATTAAAACTTTTAATCTACAAAATATACCATTATTCCTAACTCCTTACGTCCATTTATTCCTAATTTCACTTAAGAAATTAAATCTGTTGGCAACGGAAAGGTCAGAACGTTTCTATCCAGTGTGGCCACCCGTGTTTCCTTCCCGTTAAGCACCGCAGAAACTTATCATAATGTGTCGGTGTGTGGTGACGTTCAGGTAAATTCAAAAGTTATTTATTTCAGAAACAAACGGCCATTCTACAATACAAATGTCCTCATTCCCAATAAACTACCAGAATTCCACACTAATTTACCATTCTGCATCAAAAGTATTACGTTCCGTTATTATTATCATCATTATTACTTCTATTTATTAGCTTTTATTTGAAACTACTTTATATTATGTTCTTTTATTTTTTTTTAATTTTTATTAATTTATTTTGTTTAATTGTGGCGCCCTAACTGGGTCATGTTTGACTTTGACTTAGGCTTTTTCTTTACCAAGGCCTGAACTAGAAAATTACCTTGTTTTATTTGTAAAATACTGACAACCTTGCAGGGCTATATTGCCATCATAAACAACAACTTTTGTTCCATGACTTTTTACAAAACACAATTAAACCAAACGTAAACTTTTAAGTTTCTGTTGTACTTACTACCTGACACTTTTTAGATCTCTATTTGGTAGTAAACTTAAGTTCAAACATGCAAGCGTCCTCTTTGAGTTCCCCCACCCCCGCCGTTATGAGTATTTAAAGCGATCTAATTATATTATTTTTGTATAAAAGTAAAATCTGATGATATAGATGGTCAACCCGTGACCACGGAGCGTGCAACCGTTCAGAAATATCGGGAAAATAAAAAGAAGTCATACCGTGGTAAGAAACCTGATACTAGTGATAATCATTTAAAATCTGATGAGTTATTAAAAGTCATAAGAACCGAAATTTACTCCTCAGGGCACTACTCGTGTCTACGAGTGATTCTTTTTTGGGTGTCTAACCAGAAAAGAACCAATTGCGAAAAGATCGTTTCCGTAAATTGGTCCTACTGAGTATCGGACCCGGAAACCCCACATCTAACGCTAGCTGTTGGTGTACCGAGGTCCTCAAATTTAATGGCGCAACTTCAATTGAGTATCGCAGTTCACTACAACGGACGCTACAAAGTGTAATGTTCTATAATTTAACTTATGGAGATAAGACGAAATTGCGGTATCACCCAAGCGCTCTTTTGCTCAGAGTTGGCTCAAAGAGTTGAAACTAACAAAGTTTCCAGTGCTACCCGTACAGAAGCAAAACAGCTTTTAGCAGCAGCCACTCCTAAAATATTATCGATGTTTGCTAAACGATTTCAGCAGTGCACGACGTAAACAAAATAAAAAGGAAATTGTTTTCCGTCGAACAAAAAGAAAGTGAAACGCTCGAAAGTTGAGAGTTAATTTATTTCAAAGTTGTTTGCTAGTAATTTGCTGCGGCAGCGTCCTCAGGGAAGACCGCCGGCGCACACTGCGTACATCAAACTTTTTCGTATTACGAAATTTGACGCCAGCTACTTGTGAAGTCAAGTTAGGCCCGGCGCCCACTGACGGGATGGCTCGGCAGGGGTCCTACATGCAAGCGAACACTGATGATAATTATGCTACGATATCCTTGATTACAACGCGGCATGCTAAAGCATGCCTAAGAGTCCCTAGGTGTGCAGAAGCATTCCGTCGCGGCACCGTGCTCACGCCTGGTCTCTCTCCAGATCAGTACCGTGCGTGACTCCCCGCATACCCGCATAATCGCATGCAGCGTCCCAAAGCCTGGCGAAGCGTCCCGGAGGTTGCCTTTGCATTCCAGAGGCTGCCGGCTGATATCTCTAAGCATCCCGCAGCTTTATTTTGCAGCTACGATTATTATTATTAAAATTGTAACTATAATGTAATAATATTACTATTCGTCACCTGAAAATCCCTTGCCGTCCCGTCATGTCAGTGGGCGCCGGGCCTTCGGTGGACATCGCGGGCGCTCCTCGAAGAACTAGCTAAACAAGTTTTTAAAAAACAAGGAAAGTTCGCTTTCAACATTCACACATAGGGACGCTAATAACATAGAATGTGTTTATAGATTTTCGATGTTTGTATATTTTTGATGATGTTTCCTTGTGTTTGACTTGTGATATCAATAATGTTACATACTAAGGAATTTAGCAGAAACTTAAAAATGTATATGTACATGGTATTGTCATTTCTTTGTAAAATACAGTGAAATTATATTTAAAAATTTGTTCCCTATGAATTCAGAGTAAGTTTCGTGATTTTAACTGAGCCTACGTGTCCAGAGTAAAAAGTAGTCAATTTAAATTCTAATTTTAACTGCATATTGGGCACAAAGTGACGTGATTGAGTATCAAACCATTCAGCCGGTAGCAAATCGCTTTTTTGGCATTCTTTCAAAATGACAATTTCATTAGTGACGTTCTTTTCTTTTCCAGATTTCGCCCGAGGTTGGTAAATCTTTCAACCGATTAAGTTAGAAGAGACCGAGGGACCTTTTTCGCGTGAGTATGAGAAACCGTATATTACAATAGTACTAATTAGATGCTATTTCATGCTTATGGTAATTTTTTATGGTTATGTACTTGTAATGTTTTTGTGTTTGTATTTTAGTTGCGTGACTAAAACTAGTATTTATTTCGATATAATATTATATTTTTCATTAATTCTATTTTATTTCTATTCTATTCTATTCTAATTCACTAACCAAATTAATGTTGAACATGTATTAACAAAATATATTAAAAGCACTTCAAATGTTGTATTTTGGACAGGTATTTTTAAATAAGATAAATAGGGTATTGAATTTCGCGTCGAAGTTTATCATTATCTACTTAATAAATAGGTATATTCACTACGTAATATTTAACGGCAATACAAATCGAAAATTCGAGAACCTTTGTCTAGTAGCTCACGAAGTCACGGCGCCTAGTAAGTAAGTTATGGTACTCTGCATTCAATAAATGAAGAAAACAATAACTGAATGATCTCAGACATAAGTTTTTGTCATCTTCGTTTCATCTTTCGGAAAACGAAAGAAACTCCTCTCTTTATCCCGTTCAGATGACAATAAATAGACGTACACAGCACAATTCACGACCATTATTAATAGTAATGTACAATAATGTTATAAATTAACGTACAAATTTCGTAATGAATAAATGAATACTATATTCAAATATCAAAGCCGTCTTAGCGCGAAAACGGCTCACCGACAGCCTTTTTGTCGTTCAGTCAATATGATCGTCAACGTACGGGGCGTGATGCGGTATCTAAAACTAGGGAGGGGCGGAGAGTGTCCATTCTCATTACTTTTTGTTCTCTGACTAAAGCATGTGTCACGAGCTTAAACGAGCTTTATATGATATTGTCGGAATATAATTTAATTTTAATTATGTCATTCTACGACTGGACAGAAGTTTTGAATTATGTCCTTAAACCACAATCGTTTAGTGTGACAATTACCTATATTAAAATTACGCTTTAATATACCGTTACCTGTGGGTCGACACAGTTATTCATCAAATTCCAAGGACCTTTTCAAATCAGGCACGTTATGCAAATGCCTGAAGTAAGCCGGGGAACTGCTCTATATGCGTGCAGCGTACCGATGCGCCATCCTCGTCATGTTTCCATTACAAACACTGAGACCAACTGCGTTTAGTATACCGTCCGCTTCAGTGATACAGTGATATGAGCAAGTCATACAAATATCGGTTACCGTATTAGATGTGTACACTGACACAAAACCTCGTATACTGTTTCCGTACAATCTGAGTCATAAAACATACACCTACATGGAATTGTTAGAGGAATGTATATATATTTAGAAAATTGTAATATTTTCCAGATATCGAGTGATGGGACTAACAAGTAGTAACACGAATACGCTTGTCCATAACAGTTGCAGTGCGACTCAGTGCTTTAAATCGCAAAGATTTGAGGAGCGCTGCGCACGTCACCCTGAGACATAAGTTGACAAATACCGTGTGCCCGTAATTTCACCAGCACCCTTACCCGTCAAAATCGGAACACAGTAATGCTCACATTACTGTTTGGCGGCAGAAATAGGTAAGGTGGCAATTAAGTGAATTTACAGGCACATGAGACTTACCAACCTATGTCTTAGGGTGACGGGCGCAGTCTCGTCTAGTCTGCTGCTAGTATATAAAATGATGAAATCGAAACAAATATTTTTTTCTTTACCGTTAATATATACGGAAATTTAAAATAAATTATCGCGAGTCTAAATCACATTTATACTCAACACATACAAGTTAACAAGCCAAATTTGACATATTCGATCACTGAAATCAATGTTTAAATTACCATTGAAATTACGTATATTAAACCTGCATAACATTCCAATCTAAATTTGATAGGTGAATGCAATTTGATATTTGTGTTTCGTGTTTGTGTATGCCACAGACTACATAATAGATATTTGAGCTTAAGCAGAATTTGGAAATTGATTAAAGTGTGTACTGTCTTGTAATTTTTTGAAACAGTACGAATGCAATTTTCGAAGAATTTTGTATTAAAAAAGAACCCTGTATTATTTTTTATATTGGACTAGATTACTAACATCACAAAAAACATTTTTTTTTCCATAACTTTTGACAAAACATAATGCATGTACCAAAAGTAAACGAGCTTCTTGTGAAAGAGTTCGCATTCTATTTCTGTCGTCAAGCAGTAATTTCAGCATTACTGTGTTCCGGTTTTGAAGGGTAAGGATGCTGGTGAACTTACAGGCACATGGGACTTGTCAACTTATGTCTCAGAGTGACCGGCGCAGTGATAGTGCCCCTCAGATCTTTGCAATTTAAAGCTCTGAGTGGCATTGTAACTGTTATGGACAGGCGTGTAGCTTACCATCAGGCGCACGACTTGTTCGTCCCGTCACTTGATGCTATGAAAAAGAAACTTTTTAAATCTGGTAGTAAGGTAGTAAGTTCAAACGTGCAAGCATCTCCTCCCTAACGATCCTCACCCCATCCTGCGTTTTGCACAGATTATTGTTACTCTTTAGAGCGAAGTATTTAAAGATTTATATTTTTGTGCGAAAGTAAAATTGATGAATTATTAAAAGTCAAGGAACAAAAGTTGTTGTTTATGATTTTAGTAATATAGTCCTCCGAGATTGTTAGTGTTTTACAAATAATCCTGTATATTAGTGGCCAAACAATTAAACGGGCAACTGAATGGTTAATGTTTACCTTAATTGCATTATTATTAATTAAAATACCATGTGCATATGACCTAGCTGATTTCGACTACGGCGACCGCTTTAGGTCCGATGTTGATAGTGTCTGTAGGGTCAATACTACACTATAGTATTAACTTCTTATTGTTTAAATAGATAGATAAATTAAGTTGTAAAAAGTTTATTGGTAAAGATACAAGCTAGTTGAGGCTATGTATCCCTTACGTGGAAGTTACGTTGATAAATGGCTAAATTGATTGAATGTTCGTTACACACTAATTTAATTGCCTATTTATGCGCACAAGTAAACGAACGGCCGCGGAAGTAGAATGTAAAGTAAGCGGAACTAAAATGTGCGGTTGTAAGCCATACAGTGTCTGTAGGCTCACATGTGGCTCATACAGCCAATCTTCTGTGGGAAGATCCTCGCGCGACGTAAGCATGGAATTGACTATAGCACATTACCGATAAGCTTCGAGAGCCGTTCATCTTAATAGTCACAAAATTTGGTGTTTACCCGCACCATTTATTCCATCCGATTGGCAGACTTCTATTGCGAAGACTTTGTACTGCATACCACATGTTCTAAGGTAACAGTGGGCTGATTGTACACTTGTTCAGGATCCAAGATCGCAGGAAGTACGTCTATATAAATAAATAAATAAAATAAAAGTTACTCGGGCCGGGAGAAATATTTGTATGGCCTACATTTATTTCTTTGGATTTTTTGTTTTATCATTTTCATTCTAAGCGTGTGATGTGATTTACTCAAGATACTGACTGCTACATTTAGTGAACACATGTTGTATCAAGTAGTAATATATAAATTAAGCAACACCAAGAAGCTGTTTAATTTCCGTCACAGCAGTCACTATCTCTAGCACTTGTGGCTTGTAACTTTTACTGCTGTCTCTGTATTGAACATATACTTCAACATATTTATAACAAGTAAAATTATGTTATAAGTGCTATAAATGGAGTAATTTCACAAAAAAAGTAAATTCAATACAAATTTAAGTTAATTTTGTTTAAACCTTAATTTGTTTTAACAGTGAAGGTTCGTAATATAATCAGAGTATCGGAGAAATGCTTTAAAATTATTTGAAAAAAATATTTTTATTAAATAGTTAAGAAACTTGAAGAGTGATACGTAACACGAATTATTATTGTACATATATATTGTATTGAACTGCCTCCGTGGCCGAACGGTTACCATACCGGACTGCCACGCAGAGGTCCCCGGGTTCGATTCCCGGGCCGGGAGAAATATTTGTATGGCCTACATTTATTTCTCTCGTGAGTTTGGGTGTAATTTGTGGTTGTCTATGTGCGTGCACCCGCGACACAGGGCTTCCCTAGTGCGGGGCTATGTTGAGTGTATGCGTTATTTATTATTATTATTATATTATATTACAGCGACCACGCCCTGCGGCAAAATGTACCGACGACCTGAGGACTGCAATTGGATGCGGGTGACACAAGACTGAGAGAAGTTTAGTTCCAGCAATGGATGCGTATGAGCTGGCCGGTTATTGCCTAGGGTGCGCCAGATGTATAACAAAGCAATGATACGTTGTAAGGGGAGGCTCCTCTCCTGCACCCCACAACTTATACGAAATGCTCATACGCATCCAAAGTTTAATTAAAATTATTAATTATAAATAACAAGGATTGAATACTTAGAAGAAATGCCTTCAATCCGGCCGGATTTGAACCGATATCTTCTAGCAAACCGTCCCAAACGCTTTGCCAATTTTTCTATGCGCTTGTTGTAGATCTTAGCTGCTAGTTTTTAACGACTTTTTATACCTTGGCACTATCTGTGGGAAATTTATTTCTTCATATTTTCCTAAGTGTTCTATCTTTGTTATTAATAATTATAACAAAATAGTGGAGCGATTTCACATAAAATAATTAAATACCATGGTAGTAAAACATTGCGACATTAATAATAAATTTGAAAATTAAATTAAAAGTTAAAAGTGAATAAAATAAACAGTAAAAAAATGAAAATGAATACGAAAAACAATGTGTTGCTACCGCGGAAGAAAGAAAAGAATTATCTGGTCTGTGGTTGCTACCATGAAAAGGCTGCGACTCAACTTATTGCTAGTCCGGAGGCTGACGCTGATCTTCCGTCACATCCTCATACGTTCCGGCGTCGACCGGATCCCAGTAAACGAAGAAATGATATTTAATTATATATCGAGTTCTTAGGTTTTTTCGTGATTGTTACACATAGGAGAGTCAACCGTGACCATGGGACTTGTAAAGGGCCCGAAACGTCGGTTTGTTTGAAAAAACAAATATACGCGATTTAAATCCGGAAAAATAGTTTCATTTCCTAAATAATTATATATTTAGCACTTGCACTAGCATTGAATTGCAGATTTTATAGAGAACGTAAAACACCACATGGAATAGCAGTGCCGTCAGTTATTCCAATCGACTGGATAAAAAAAAATTTAGTCGCACTTCAGCAGCGCGACAGTCGAGCGGCCGCCGCGTCGCTGCAACGCTTCTAACAACGGCTAATTTGAACGCGCCCTTAATGTATAGGACACGGTTATGTACTAATACATATAGTGAGTGTACTACATTATGCCATTACATTATATAACAAAACATGAATGGGTGTCAGTACAATGGGTAAGCAAGCAAGTGTAGTCTATAAAATATAGCTAGATACCTAATTTTACGTCTCGAATTCTGCACCATGAAAAGCTTCCGCCATCAGAGCTGTTTTTGCTTTTCTGCTTTAAGGTGTTTTTTTGACAACAAGCTTTGACATGATATACGGTAAGCATTATAGCATATGCCATCGATACGATAAGAAAAAGAAGCATGCCGTGTCCGATTCTGGAAGGTTTTTGCTATAATCGCACCGCTTCACAAACGGATAGGACATTGCAAAGCCTGCATTTATTGCAAGATGTCGGATATTGCGGCACAGAACCGCTCCAAATATATAGATTATATAGGTACATTACATAAAACGCTTCAGATCTCCTTAGGTTGAGATAATATTGATGATAATGGCCTTCGGTTACGAATAAGCCAAATCCGTATTTTCCGTGCCATTGAAAACGAGTATGGGATAAATACAGGAAATCGGCAACAGAGTGTTTCCCTATACAGATTGCTTACGGACATCATCTCGTAGTCGTTTTGAAAGATATATATTATATGTAGTAACAGACTAAGCGGACGTGACGGTAGTCGTATTTTAATATTCATATTTTCATTAACACAATATACAAAAAGATATGAACATTAAAATATGTTTATAGTCTTTAACAAAGGAAACATTTACTTATATATATAAGTACCTACTGGTTTCATTTTTTTCGTGGTTTCGTCGTTTTGTTTTGTAAAAGTCTTTTGCCCATGTGGGCGAACGGTTACCATACTGGTTTGCCACGCAGAGGTCCCATTAGAGATTCGATTCCCGGGCCGGGAAAAATACTTGTATGGCCTACGTCTATTTCTCTTGTGAGTTTGGATGGAATTTATGGTTGTATATGTATGTGTGTGTACATGGCACCTGCGATAGAGGGATTTACGAATGCGGGGCAAAAAAAATGGTAACGTGCTAAGGGAGTACCTGAAGGTAGCATGTCAGGTTATTTTTAATATGCATGAATGACACTGTGCGTTATTATTATTGAAGCTGGTGGTACCAGGCTCTCACACTTCTCTAAAGCAGACAGACATGTATAAGACAAAAAGATAGGTGATAGGTAAAATAAAAGCACAAATGTAAATTAATAGCTTGTGTTAAATTAGCTTTAAATATATTACAATTTTTTAGAACAATATATAAGTTACACCAACGTCGAACAAACTAACATTGTTTTATATAAAACCATAAAGGGTACATACACAATACTCATATATGCATAGTACATGAAGGGTATAACGGATAAAAACACTCATAAACAATTTTTATAAAGGGTTGATAAAAGCACTGAAATACAATATAATAAAATTTTATCATGTAAAAACAGTGACCTTCATGTTTTCAGAGTTATTTTGTTAAGAAATACCTTTTGCTCTAATAATGCCTCAAAGAGATTTCGGGAAATCTTTGAAAAAAGTCCTTTTTGATGTCTGTGGCCAATATAACAACCTCAAATGTAAATGTCTGAGGGCCAACAAACAACATAATAATGAAATAATTAGCAAGAATTTAAGGAGATAAAATACGTTACCTAAATCTCTGACTCGTTTGATGTCCAATTAGAGAGAACATTTTACTTATTTCAAGTCTTGTTTTACTTGTTTCATTAAATTACTCTTCGGCCTCATTTAACAAGTATGCAAACATTATAATTCGTAGTCAAATTTAGTGGAGATACGCGAGGAGGCTGGGGAATGTAGTAGAGAAACAAAAAATGAAATTTAATGAAATCTATAACATTTTTTTTATAGCAATTAGCAAGTGACGGGACGAATATTATTCGTGCACCTGGTGGTAAGCGACACGCCTGTCCATAACAGTTGCAGTGCCACTCAGAGTTTTGAATCGCATAGATCTTTACGCCTTTCACACTGAGACATTACTTGACAAGTCTGTAATTCTACCTGTAATTTCACCCTTACCCTTCAAAACCGGAACGCAGTAATGCTCTCATTACTGCTTGGTGGCAGAAACAGGTAAGACAGTACTTCAGTGGACGAACTATTTCACAAGAAGGTCTACAACTTCAATTTTATAAACGAGATACGTAATTAAAAGCATCAGCCTAAAACATAATGAGATAACTACCAAGTCCACATCGTGATATTTTCAATTTTCCCCTTGAACGTGTACACATCACGAACGGAGAAGAATTTTAGGAGAATTTATATTTCTTATTTACCGGTTGAGCTCCTTCTGAGGCTGACTCGATTTCGCTCATAATTCGATCTTATGTAGAGTTGTGCTATTACAAATTCCAAATGGAACTGGCATAGTGACAACTCGACAGTGAAGTTAACTAACTAGTTTGTCACTTTATTATTCTGTCTTTACGAATACTTGTGGAACACGTGTTACTTGTGTGTAAAATACAGAGAGGAGCTCACTATTCACTTGTAAGTATGAAATTATTTCGTCTCGCGACCCATATCATGCTATGAGGCGTTGATTTAGGTACTTAAGAGAAAGCGAAACTTAGAATATACAGGGTGTAAGTGACGGAGTACCGGAAACTTTAGTTACCTATGAGTTCTATTTGTCAGTTTCAACATTTTCTATGGCGATTTATTTTTCAAACTCCGCTTACAAATTGAAAGTCACCTGGGGGCCAATCGCGCTAATTGTCAAAGGTTTAACCAAAACCTCCAACCTCGCCAATCTGACACGTTGTGTACATTTCGTATCGCGCTAACTGTCAAAACAAAAACCTAAGCCAAAACTTAGACGTGTGACACGTAACGCACATTTGGTATCGCGCTAATTGTCAAACGTAAAACCAAAACCTAAAATGTTGCAAATTGGTATCGCGCTAAATATTTTGACATTTTAACCTCACATGTAACCTTGGGGGAATAGATTAACCTTTGCAAGGTCAAGGTTTGTGTGGCAGTTAATGGAGAGTAACTTTTCACTACGTTTATCGTATATAAAAGATGTTCCACGGTTACTTAAATGTTTTGGAAAGTGTTTATGAGGTGGATGTGGCCTAAGAACGGGCTTTAAATAAAAGAAAAGCATAGAAAGACGATCACATTTAACATGTCTGAGGAGAAATTCCGCAAACGATATACCGTTTGTCCACGGAATTCATTTCAGGATTGGTGGAAGAACTATGCCTACATATTCTCGTTAAAGGACGGTCTGTTGCATTGGATGTGGAGACAAAGGTAAGGGTTGAGTGGAATCCGAAAGTTCTCAGTTTTGCATAATAACCAAAATTTCTATACTGTGTAAATCATTATTAATTTTGTTACAGATTTTAATAGCTCGTATAGTTTTTAACAACTGGGGCGTACCAGACCCCCATTGGGAAGTGCTTATCACCCTTTCCCAAGTCAGTGTCAGAGAGGCACAAGCGGTAGCTGCTTCAAATAAACGAGTTATTATGAATAAATATGCAGCTTTCCTAAAAGGCATGCCGAAAGAGATGGTATTAAAAGGCGGTGAGAAAATAAGCTTTACAATGTACATCATATTTATTAGTTCTTGTCTTATTTCCTGTTGTTATTATCAAATTAAAATTACAGGTATAGGTAAAATATGTATAGTTGTATAAAAATATATTACAAGGTTACAATTTATTTCTTTTAACACTTGACTTTATACAACATATCGTCCCCTTACAGTGAAGCCTCACATATGCATTTTCAGTTTGTTTTTACTGATTTTTGTTGAATAAAAATTAATAATGTAATAATATAGTATCTAAAAGAGGTATAATTTAAGTAATTAAAATGCTAACTACACAC